AATCAGGAAGGAAGGGGGAGGGAGCTTGCGTCGTTTTTTTTCAAATAAAGTACCTCTCTCTCTCTTTCTGACAAACTGCGGACAATGGGCCTCATTCACGAATAACTTCGTAAGAAACTTCTCAAATTTCTTCTCAAGTTGTCCTTAAGTAGATTTCTAAGAAGTCCCTACGTGGGATTCATCAACGCACTCGTAAGCCGCTGAATTGTTCGCAGCTGTTCTCTTAGATTGATGAATCCCATTTCCTCGTAAGTAGAGCGCACGTGCCAGGTGCTTCATTAGCATAGGTACTTAGCATAAGTAACCGCCCATTAATGCCCATAAAAGGGACTGCAGGGCCGTGTGCAGACGGCAGAGGAAACCGCAACAGGCCTAAAGCAAAGAGTTACACGGAGCAAAAGAGTCACCCTTTTTTCTTCTTTTGCCAGACTGAGAATAAAGTTATAAAATGTTGACTTAAAAGTCGAAATATTATGAGAATAAAGTCGAACTAGCAAAATTATGAGATTAATCTAAGAATATGATGAGATTAATCTCAAAATGTTATGAGCTTAATTTAAAAATATATTATGTATTATTTTAAAAATTAATCTCAAAATGTTTTGAGATTAATCTCAAAATATTTTGGACCCTGGGAGGAGATCCAGCGCTGAGACCAATGCAGACCCGAGGAGAGACTGGAGTGACCAGCACACAGAAACCAGCGCGGACCTATAGACTGTAGTGACCTGACTGGAGAGACCGGTGCGCAGCGACCAGCGCGGACCGAAGAGACCAGCGCAGACCGAAGAGAGACCGCATAGACCAGACTTGAGAGACCAGCGCGGACCCGTATGGATCCAGGAGCATGCAGCACGGACCCGTATGGAGAGACCAGTGCAGACCCGTGTAGATCCATGGGAGAGACCAGTGCAGACCCGTATAGATCCATGGGAGAGACCAGTGCAGACCCGTATAGATCCATGGGAGAGACCAGTGCAGACCCGTATAGATCCATGGGAGAGACCAGTGCAGACCCGTATAGATCCATGGGAGAGACCAGTGCAGACCCGTATAGATCCTAGGAGAGACCAGCGCAGAGACTCAGCGCGGACCCAGTAACCTCTTGCAGCAGCAGTATATATGCCGTTGTTCTGTGGCCCGTGGATAAAGAAATGCCCCCAATAAATAGGAAGGGGTCACTAATACACGGCAAGATTTCCAATGTATTTGATAAAGCGTTGGCACATTTCATTTCAAAATGAATTAAAAAGTAGGCCAGATCTGCAGTGAAAAAGGCGGTATATAAATAAAGATTACTAATAAAGATTACTACAAATAAATAAATACATACATCGATATGACGGAAATATCACTGGAATGTTGTATTTTTATTCAACTTCACCAAAGAGGACAACCCCGGCGTGTGAACATGTCGGCACTGAATGCGTACGAGTGCTCCTGAGGACTCGTAGGATTTGTACTTGCCCAAGAGAAATTCTGGTTACGAGAAAAATTCGTGAATGCCACTTTCTTTGTAAAAACCTCGTAAGTAGGATTTACGTACAAATCTGTTCCTAAGAACCGTTCGTGAATGAGGCCCAATCACTTTAAGCCCCTGGGCAGTGGTCGAGGGGCGCAGGGGAGATTTGTTGCTCAAGGGCCGAAAGGATGCATTTCTTCCGGGGTATAACTCCCTTCTCTCTTCGACCCTTGTGTGGCACTAGCTCAACACTTCAGACAGTTGCTCAAGAGTCAGGCTTTATTCTTACTTCATACCGGCACTTGTTCTTGCTGTCTCGCTCCGGTCATCCTGCTCATATGCTAAAAACGTACACTCACTCACTCTCTCAGACATGTTTTGTATTCATGATGTTAATTGGTAAAGTGAAATCGTCTTTTATTTAATTTTGCCAAATATCATTCACTTTGTTGAGATAAGGCGAGGGAGCATATATGGGGCACAAGCAAAATGTTTTGTTTGTGCAGCATATTTTGTACTCAAAGTAATTCAAAACGAAAGAAGGAACACATTTGGGTTAGGGTTGGGGTCAGTAGACTTAAGGCAACAGATTAGAGTGGCTTGGAAACTACCATCCCAAGTACCATCAGGTCTGATTATTGAGCCTTCTGACTGTGATATGGTATAAAGCATAGCCAGTAAGTTTCTGGATAAAAAATGTTTACAAAATGGACGAACATGCACTCCTTGATCTTTGCTCGATTATATTTTTATAATAACATAACATTTGTTTTAGTTTTCTAAATATGCTTTGTTTTTGGCAAACCTAAGTATAGAATGCTAAAACTTGATATCAATAAGTACCAATAATAAAAAAAATTGACATTTCTCAATATTTTTTAAAAATATACCAAAGATTAACCAAAAAGGTTGGTAGGAATGCACACAAACATCGATAACGGGTGATTATTGCCTTGTTATTACACGGCTCCTCACAGCAGCAGTACAACGATCCATTGATTTGAATGTAATTTCAAAACGTTCTACCGGTCATTATTTTCTATAACGGACCTCTCAAAACAATAATGACCGCTGCCCATGGCAACGCACTCTCTGCTTGTATTTCAGATGCGTGGATAACACCGCAAGTAGTTCCGGCCACTCTGGAGCTAGCCACGCTCAATAAACGCAAATACCAATCAATCAACGCAATGAAATGTTAATCGGAGAATAAATTATACATATACAGTCTTAATACAAGTACACGGAAGTTTTCAGAATTTTTCGTTCACGTTTTTATGACAAAAACACTGATGTAATGCGAGAAAAGGCGATCCCGAAAAACCCGGAAGTAGATACCGGCACATTTTAAGAGGCCGACACATTTTTGGACACATTTGCGGAGGATCGAATTATGGATTTAGGTTAAGTTTATGTTTGGGTCACTCACCGCTGATGTTCAGAATTCTTTGTTCAGTTTTCATGCAGTTCCAGGGAGTTCTAGTTTGGAAGTTGATAGCCTAACTGCTGCTAGCATAGCCACGGGAAAGCCTTTGGGAACTATTTTATTTTCTTTCTTATTTAAATAAACCTTTTGGCATTCCTAAAAGTGGACTGAAGTTTATGTTGTGTGTTCTGTTGGTATAAAGCCGTATAATAAGGGCGGAAGCTTCGCCCTGTCGGTACTTATTTTCTGATAATGACCTGCGTAATATACGTTATCCCTTACTTAACTACCATCGGTCATCTGCAAATAAAAATGACATTCGCCAATAGAAAATCATTTAACACAACAAATCTTATTGGACATTTCTGAAGCAAGCATGAGGAGGTGTACAACAATTGCATCCAAGCTGAAGAAAAATAGAAAACTGAAGCCGCCAAGAAATAAATATATATGAAGGGCTTCCGTGTGATTTTTGTATCTTGTATAGTTCAGATATGATCAAATCCTAATTAAAGCTGGAGTACCCAACTTTGAAAAGCATTTACCCATTTCAATGTAGTAATCGCTCTAAATTAAATATTATATGAATGGAAATATAAATGACGACTTTGTGTACATGTGTACTGTATTTGTTTATTATAACAACAAAAATGGCATTAACATTATTATTAACATTCTTTCTGTAGTAGACAGTATTTTTTCAGTGCAACATATTCCGCTTCAGCTAAAGCCTTCTCTTTCTTCTTTTTCTCTGTCTCATAAAGGATCCTATTCATTAGTTTAAAGCAAGGAAGGTGAGTGCTGCAGAGGGTACGAGTGGTAGAAGGCTTAACACACAGGTGCTCTTCAAAGACAGGGAAATCTGCAGATTTAGGATGTCAAAAAGAGAAAAAGAAGTCTGAGGCACTCTGTTGTTGTGAAAAAATAAAAGTCCACCAAAAGTAGTCTTTGTCAGGGCATAAATAATGTCATTCAGGTGTTTCTGTTTTAAAAGCAAGACATGTCACATGACAGGAAGAACATGTGACAGGATAAACACAATGTTACCTTACAATAAAAAAAGAAAAAAAAAGGTTTTACAAAACATTTTTACAAAAGAACCAGCTTGACTCAAGTCAGAAAATATTACAATGTCTTTCAAAAGGACTTAAAAAAATATGTATATCAATACATGAACATGTGTGCACCAAAACATATACACATAGAGCGCCACAGGTAAAAGTGTTCAGAAGTGCAAGAAGATAGTCTCGCAACATCAGGAGAGCGAGCATATGGATAGAGGCACCAACTGTACAGCACTGAGAAGGGAGAGCAGTGTAATAACAGTTAATGCTTGCATCGATATAAATCTTCAAACATAGAACCAAAGACCACTGACCCAGAACACATAATTTCAAACATCTAAAAAAATGGGGTAAAGTCCAGTTCCTCGTTTAGCCTGGGTGGTGGGTAAATCCGTGTACCCTTCGATCATTAGTTATTCCGTTTCAAAATAAAATCAGTAAAACAACGTACGTGGTTGTTTTATTGTATTTCCATTTTCTGAATTAAATTGGAAAATCAAAACATTCTAAATAAAATATTCACCCATTTCTTTGCTATCCAGTGGAAACAAACACTACTAAAACAACTTCCATTATTTTGTTTGATATGCAGCTTTCGCGAAAGTTCACTGTGGTAGACCCGGCTGCTGCTTGTCCAGACCTACAAGCCTGCTCATCCTCGACTCATCATACCAGCAACGCCCACATCTAATCAACCAATAACCACCAGGACAGCAAGTTAAAAGCCGGAGATGCCCACCTCCCGGCCTTCTGAAGTCTGCAAGCCTCCGCCGCCCCACCTCCTCCTTCTCTCATCGAAGCGTGCTTGCCTACTGCCTCTGCCGTCACCAGTGCCTAGGCCCCGGGGGGGATTATGCGCGCGATCAAGCGCCGCGCTCAACAGCATCTCTCCCGGGCCTAGGGCGCCAAACATGCTTAATCCTAAACTTCTAACTGCATTTTCCCTCATGGGTCTCTCCAAGGTGAAATGCTACCGGAAATGATGAGTGGTGAGAGACGGAAACAACTGCAAGCTGCACTCAACTCAATCGGGCATTCTCAAGGTGGTATGGCCGTAAGCACGGGGGTATGGAGCAGCGTGCCTCCTGACCCTGCTGCTGCGGTCCTCTCCTCCCCCAGAATGAGCGCTCTTGGGCGGATGGCAGGCGCGCGGTCACCCCGGTGGTTTCCAAGGGCCATAACTTTCTGGTCCTTTGTCCCCCGCGCGTCAAATTCACACCGCGGGTAGCCCGGACCAGGGGAGTCCCTGGGTTCCACCCCCGTGTCTCTACCCCCTTGGGCTCGTCTTTGAGGAGCCCGGAAAGCGGGGCTTCCTTCCCCCGGGAATGAGCGCTCAGGCCCGGGTCTGAGCGGGAGGACTCCCCGTTCCGGTGATAGCCCAGAACCGGAGGAGTGCGTGGGTGAAAACCCAGTGTCTCTAGCCCTTATGGTTCGTTTTCTACGAGCCCTGAAAGCCAAGGTTCTCCTCCCCCAAAATGAGCGCTCATGGGCGGATGGGAGGCGTGCGGTCCCCCGGTGGTTTCCAAGGGCCATAACTTTCTGGTCCTTTATCCCCCGCGCGTCAAATTACACCGCGGGTACCCCGGGACCGGGGGAGTCCCTGGGTCCCACCCCCGCGTCTGTAGCCCCCCTGGCTCGGCTTTGAGGAGCCCCGAACGCGGAGCTTCCTTCCGCGAGGTCTCTTCTCTCTTCCGGTGTCGCAAATAATAATAAAACGAAATAATAGTAATGCCATAATTCTTTTGAGAATTTTAAACAACTAGAGCCAAAACAAACACATTGATATTGAAGCATAAAGATTTTATTTTTTTATTCAAGTTTAGAAAAGGAAAAGAACAATAAATGAATGGAAATTTTGATTTTCTGATTTTATTTTGAAACGGAATAACTAATGATCGAAGGGTACACGAATTCATATATGTACACTATGTTGTAATGTATCTTTCCATTCAAACCACCATTTACAGAAAAAATATGGCAAAATTTTGCAGATAGTTCGAAATGTGATCAATTATGATTATACGATATATATTAGGGCTGGGACTTTAACGCGTTAATTAAAATTAATTAATTACACAAAAATTAGCGCGTTAAAAAATGTACACATTTAAATTGTATCTTTTTTTTTACCACCGCGGACCTCGTACCTTCCATCCCGCGCGGCAGCCTCTGGGTGTTTTCCGTAGAATCTCCGCAGGAATAGTGTGTGTCCCCGGGAGGGACCTCCGCTCTCCGCAGCACCAGCAGCTGGCCCCGGGTGTAAACAATGGGGAGCACGTGGGCACATCTCCGTTCACAGGTATAATCCACTTTTATGATCAGGACAGCGGTGGAAAAACACGGTATGTCTCATTTCATTAGTGGGCACTAGCTTCACCCAGCTGTATTATAACAGCAGTTACAGAAAAAAATGAAAATAAGTAAGCTAAAAAGTAAGAAATGTAGAGGGGGAGCTATGCAACTCTTTTTTTTATTGAGTCCCTGTCATGGTTCAAGTTTATTTCCTGTTTTATTTTGAAATGTGTTATTCCTGTGTCTTCTTTGGTTGTACTTCCTGTTGTCTGATTACCAGCCCTGCCCTCCTGTGTCTCACCTGTGTCTCGTTAGTCTTGTATTTAGCCCTGTGTGTTCCTTCACTCCCTGTTCCGTCATTGTCTTCCCTAGTCTGTTTTAGTTATGTCCTCGTTCTCTGTGGTTTTGGATTTGTTTTATCTTTTTATTAAACCATAAGTTTTTTGCAGTTTTGCATTTTGGGCCTCATTTGTTTTTCACCCACGTGACAGAATGATGGAACCACTCAAGGCCCAAGCAGACTGCTTCATTTTTATTTTTTGTCATCTCTGGCCCATCTTTGTCCCCGACTGGTCTTGACAGTTGCTGCAGGAGCTGGACGCATTCCCTGTCTGTCTGTGTCCTGGACCACTGCAGGACACTTAGCTCCGTCCCGGGTGGTTGCAGGCTTCCGTTCCTGACCTGGCTCCGCTGGATATTGTTCTCCATCCAGGGGGCCTTCTGTACCCGTTTGGCTCCAGTCCTGGCTCCAGTTCCTGCTCCAGCTCTTCGGCTTCACGTCCCGGCCCCGGCTTCACGTCCCGGCCCCGGCTTCACGTCCCGGCCCCGGCTTCACGTCCCGGCCCCGGCTTCACGTCCCGGCCCCGGCTTCACGTCCCGGCCCCGGCTTCACGTCCCGGCCCCGGCTTCACGTGCCGGTTACACCCCCCCGGTCCTTCCTACGGTCCCCCTGCTCCCTCCCTGGTTTTGTTTTTGGGACGTCTGGGATCCGTCCCTTGAGGAGAGGGTACTGTCATGGTTCAAGTTTATTTCCTGTTTTATTTTGAAATGTGTTATTCCTGTGTCTTCTTTGGTTGTACTTCCTGTTGTCTGATTACCAGCCCTGCCCTCCTGTGTCTCACCTGTGTCTCGTTAGTCTTGTATTTAGCCCTGTGTGTTCCTTCACTCCCTGTTCCGTCATTGTCTTCCCTAGTCTGTTTTAGTTATGTCCTCGTTCTCTGTGGTTTTGGATTTGTTTTATCTTTTTATTAAACCATAAGTTTTTTGCAGTTTTGCATTTTGGGCCTCATTTGTTTTTCACCCACGTGACAGTCCCAGCTCTAATATATATATATATTTCACAATCGGTGCATCCCTAGTTTAGAGTGATCCTTAATAATTACTACATTGAAAAGGGGAAATGGTTTTCGAAGTTAGGTACTCCAGCTTAATTAGGATTTGATCCTATCTGAACACTTCATTTTGGGATTTCGCAAACCGCCTTACCCTCCCTATCTTCTCATCTGTCCGCCTCCTTGTTTGTGGGATGCCAATCAGGTGCAAACAGCCTCCCCTCGCCCCTCCCCTCACTCCTGGGAGATGACCCACTTCGCCAGGATCCCACCCCACTTTGTGCCGCTGCCCTGGCCCTTTAAAGCCGGCTGCGGTTGGGACGTGAATAATGCATGGAAGAGGGACATGAGAATTAGACTGTGGGGGGAATAGAGGTCTTGCCAGGCAGCAAAAACTAAGTCAAGATGTGGAACTGGTCTGGGCTCGTTTCTTTGGATGAGAGTAAGATGGAACTGTGAATTACTTAGGGGACAAAAAATATTTTCAAGAGTGTTAAACAAATTCTTTTGCCTTCTCCTTTGCCCTCACACAAGGGCAAACATCCAAAAATGTTCAGTGTGAACAATATGTTTAAATAAAATGGTAATTTAGGATAGGGACCGCAATATAAGCAAACTGTTTTATTGCCTGTTGCTTACATGTGAGTTAGGTAAAAAATGTCATGTCATGTCTAACATGTATAAAAAGTTCCACATGGGGCTATACTTTTTATAATGAATAAAGAGTGAAACTGAATGATAGATGCAGGAAAAGACAAGCCTCACTCCTTGTTGGCCCTTTGTTTGCCATGAGGTCTGTATGAGAGATTTTGGCTCCTGTGGAGTGTTACAGTTAGCTTTAATTGGCTTGCCCCAAACCCCGGCGATGGCGCAGTATTCAAATGAATGGTTTGTGCTCAGTGGCGGATTTACTGGCACAGTCGCTGACATATTAGCGGAACTCGCCATATCACTCTCTATATTTGGTTCTATGGGGAAAATTTCTGGGTAGCCCACGTGAATTTAGTCTGTCTGCAGTACCACGAGAATCCCCTGCGCACATGCGTCCTTCAGCTCCAAGCTAGTATTACCCTATCCAGTTATTATAATAGATCCATGGCTTGCCCCCACCTATTTTACAGTATGACACATATAAGTACTCTAAGGATAACTCCCAAATGATAGAAGTGCTTTTGTTTATAAGTGGTCATCTTGAGTTAATTGTGACACATACAGAGGGCAGGCAGTGTTGTGGTGCGTTCACTGACCCTTGTCTGCCCCAGTCTCCGTCCAGATTGTTGTTGCTTTAGTTGTAGCTCATTCTCATGTTTGAAATCCACTGTGACTCACTCATCTCTGTGCTAAGAACACAAAACAACAGGCTTATGGGTTCAAAACCATAAAGACAACAAGGGTTAGGACGTGTAGAAGGGAATGTAACTTTGTCTTTTCCAGAATCAGATAAACATCATTGTGCCTCTCAAATAAATCAATAAATATGTATTGGTATAGCACAAGTAGGGGTGGGCAATACATAAAGGATCAAATTCAAGTAATTTGACTGCACCTTAAACACGGGATGAACACACCAAAAACGGTTTGCACAATAGTTTGAAAAATTAGACATTGTGAATAAATATTCTTGCAATAAACCTATGCTTTCACCCAGGCAGTACAAAAAACATAAGAGAACGATTTCTAATCAGATTTAGTTAGTAGTACCTTAGACATTTTTATGGATAGATACTTTATTGAGGGTTCAATTCCCACCTCTGCACCTTCTCCACCGACTCCCACTGATGACTGCTGTCGTTGTGTCCTTGGGCAAGACACTTAACCCCACTTTGCCCAAAGCCCCCACTGAAAGATCAAGGCTATGCTCACACTCAGAGAGCAGCCGTCCTCCTGTGGACTCACCACCTGCAGAGGGTCAGTGAGGGGCTGGTGCTATGAGACTTCTCTGACTGCCACCCCAGAAATGGATTAAAGGGTAGAAAATGGATGGATGGATGGATGGACTTTATTGATCCCCGTAGGATAAATTCACGTGTCCAGTAGCAGCAAAAACGCATGCATCCACACAAACAAAACAAATACATTGATAATTCTAAAAAGCTGACAAAAGTAATATAACTCAACAGCCCTTTAGGTCACAGCAGCAGAGGTGGAGTAGCCACTGGGTGGAGCAGGACGGGTCACAGCAGCAGAGATGGAGTAGCCTCTGGGTGGAGCAGGACAGTTTTTAAGGCAGTAAGATCCATGCTTCTTCAGTGGTCAGAGGTTGCACGTTTTGTTTGTTGTTGTTTTGGCACATATTGTGACGTGCGAAAACGCAACACTTTGGTTATGTCTGTATACACGCTAATTCATAAACAGAGTTTTCAAAAATGTGCACTTTGCCCGGAGTTTTTTATATATTCGTTTATGATGCGTTGTCATGTGGATGACAGGTGCAAACAAAGACAAATATCTGCGGTTTAGCAGACACCTGGCTATGTGTGGACAGGTTCTCAGACGGTCCGATTGTACTGGAGCACCAACTAACGCGCATGAATTGGGTTCAGACAACAACAAACCATAGTGGCACAGTGAACAAAGAAGCTGATGTGAATGCGTTGGTTGGCCCTGTGGATGGGAAAAAAAATACTCCTCACTGTTCTCAGGTCAAATATTTATATGCAATTAAAATATGATTAATTAAAAGCCTCTAATTAATTATATTTAATGTTTTAATCGAGTCCCAGTCCTAATACATACATATATATACATGAGGGTTCTGTGCAGTATCTTTGCTGTTCCTAGCACTGCACATTTCTGTCCGAGGTTGTTCCAGGGATCCGCTGTAACACTCTTCCAGCTTCGCGGTCACTGCCCCGAGTGTACCAATCACCACGGGCACTACTGTCACCTTTACCCTCCAGGCCCTCTCCAGCTCCTCTCTGAGCCCTTGGTATTTCTCAAGCTTTTCGTGTTCTTTTATCCTGATGTTGCCATCGCTTGGAATTGTCACGTCTACCACCACGGCTTTCCTCTGCCCTTTGTCTACCACCACGATGTCAGGTTGGTTCGCCATTACCATTCGGTCGGTCTGTATCTGGAAGTTCCACAGGATCTTCGCACACTCATTCTCTACCACCTTTGGAGGAGTTTCCCACTTAAACCTTGGGGTTTCCAGCCCATACTCTGCACAGATGTTTCTGTACACTATGCCAGCCACTTGATTATGGCGGTCCATGTAGGCCTTCCCTGCAGCATCTTGCACCCTGCAGTTATGTGTTGGATCGTCTCAGGTGCCTCTTTGCACAACCGATACCTTGGGTCTTGTCTGGTGTGGTATATCTGGGCCTCTATCGCTCTGGTGCTCAGTGCCTGTTCCTGTGCAGCCATGATGAGTGCCTCTGTGCTGTCCTGTAGGCCAGCCCTTTCTAGCCATTGGTAGGACTTCTTGAGATCAGCCACTTCTGTTATGCTCCGGTGGTACATGCTGTGTAGGGGCTGGTCCTCCCATGATGGGCTCTCCTCCAGCACCTCCTCATCTCGCTACTGGCAGAGACATTCACTGAGTACGTCATCCGTTTTGGCCTTCTCCATGATGTAGTTGTGGAGTTTGGATGTTTCGTCCTGGACAGTGGCTCTCACACTCACTGCCTCCTTCTTTACGGCTTACGTACAGTCTGGATTTGGGATGGAACCCACCATGCATGGTGAGGAGCTTTTGAGTTTTAATATCCGTGGTCTGAATCTCTTCCTTTGGCCACCTGATTATTCCTGCAGGGTATCTGATCACTGGCAGGGCGTAGCTGTTAATTGCCCGGGCCTGTTTCTTGCCATCGAGCCGGCTTCTTAGGACCTGCCTTACTCGCTGGCGGTATTTGGCAGTTGCCGCTTTCCTTGTTGCCTGTTCGAGGTTGCCATTTGCCTGTGGTATACCGAGATACTTGTAACTGTGCTCAACGTCTGCTATTGTTCCCTCTGGGAGTGAGATCCCTTCTGTGTGGACTACCTTGCCTCTCCGAGTCACCATCCTGCTACATTTCTCGAGTGCGAATGACATCCCGATGTCATGGCTGTAGATGGTGCTTTGGATCAGAGAGTCGATGTCTCTCTCACTTTTGGCGTACAGCTTGATGTCATCCATGTAGAGGAGGTGACTGATCTTTGCTCCGTTCCTGAGGTGGTATCCATAGCCTGTCTGGTCAATTATTTGGCATAGAGGGTTCAGGCCTATGCAGAACAGTAGTGGGGACAGAGCATCTCCTTGGTACTACATTTGATGGTCACTTGACTTGCCATTTGCCTCAAGGGTGGTCTTCCACATCCCCAATTAGTTTGCAACGAACAAAAGTCCCTTAGAGCCCTGTTGAACTTCAAGCATTCCATGATCCATGTGTGTGGCATTGAGTCGTAGGCTTTCTGGTAATCAATCAATCAATCAATATAATATATATATATATATATATATATATATTTCATGAGTTCTTTGAATTTCAATTAGTTGAGATGGACTATTTTAAATCTAAACTTATCTAAATAGCAATTTGTGACCTCTTGCCAACGTTCAATCATTTTCCGTAAGGTTTGTCTTTTCCAGAATTACTTTGCAAAGGTTTTTTGTTGGGTACTATCAAGCCCATTTGATCCAAGATGGCGGCCTATTCAAATGAATGGCTTGTGCATTGTGCCTGGGCCATGCATGGGGACCAAGAGATAAGTGGAACTCGCTCAGACTCGTGGCTCAGAGAATAGACTTTAAAACAGCTCTGCTTGTGTACAAGTCTGCATGGCCTCGCACCAAAATATATTAGTGACATGTTAGTACCATATGAACCGGCTCGGACTCTGAGGAACAAAGGGACTAGACTCCTGCTGGTGCCCAGAGTCAAGACTAAACATGGGGAGGCTGCATTTCAGATTCATGCTGCTAAAATCGGGAACAATCTTCCTAAAAATGTGAGACAGGCCTCCTCTCCGACAATGTTTAAAACCAGGTTAAAAACACTTCTGTTTAGCTGTGTCCATATTAAATAAATAAATAAATTGAAGTATTGTTCATGGGGTAGGGGTTGAGAGAGTCTCCCACTAAAAATACCTTGGCACTATATTGGATGATAAACTGAAATTTGATGTCAACACTGCTGCTATTGTGGAGCGCAGCCAGCAAAGACTTTACCTTATGCATAAGTTCAATCAATCAATCAATCAAAGTTTATTTATAAAGCGCTTTTTCATACAACAGATGCAACACAAAGTGCTTTACAGTTTGGCTAAAAAACAATCCTGCCCATGCCCTCCCCCCGACCGCCCAACAGACCCTCCCCAGACCACACACACACACGCACCGATAAAACAATAAAACGACGATAAGAGACGTTAAACTCCTTTGATGTCAGCTCC